CAAATGCAATTTGACACATAACACAGCCACACAAAAAAAAAAAGTACCCGGGCCGGGAAATGAGACCATCATTTCTTGATGTATTTTGATGCGCTGAACACGAATCTGAAGTCCGTTTAGCTCCATCACGTCAGGATTTTGACATAACCTCAAAAAACATAGCTGATTTTAAATGACAGGAGAAATTTTTTAAATAATGGCAGATTTGCTTGAATCTTGTTACTCGGGGGTTTTTGGGGTCGCTGATTACGAATTTAACGTCAGATTTAATAAATTCAAAATGGCGGATCCAATATGGCGGACGAATTTTTAAAAAGTAGTTGGATTTTTACGAAAATTGGTATCTAGGGGTTTTGGGAGTCGCTGATTACAAATTTATCGTCAGATTATTCAAATTCAAAATAGCGGATCCAATATGGCGGACAAATTTTTAAAAAGTAGTTGGATTTTTACAAAAATTGGTATCATGGGGTTTTTTGGAGTCGCTGATTACGAATTTAACGTCAGATTATTCAAATGTAAAATGGCAGATATAGTACGGTGGTCAAATATCTTTATGTTTCTACATGTGTCTGCATCCAGGGTACCTCCACGCGGTGACGGTGGGCAACGGAGTTTGTCCGCTATCCGGCTAAGTCCCTGGATAATGGCTTTGATGCCGTCATGGCAGACACACGTAGGAAACGTATTACGATGCAGGGACTCGGAACCCCAGTATCGGCCAAGTTACATAAAAATTCAACTACTTTTTAAAAATTTGTCCGCCATATTGGATCCGCTATTTTGAATTTGAATAATCTGACGATAAATTTGTAATCAGCGACTCCCAAAACCCCTAGATACCAATTTTCGTAAAAATCCAACTACTTTTTAAAAATTCGTCCGCCATATTGGATCCGCCATTTTGAATTTATTAAATCTGACGTTAAATTCGTAATCAGCGACCCAAAAACCCCCGAGTAACAAGATTCAAGCAAATCTGCCATTATTTAAAAAATTTCTCCTGTCATTTAAAATCAGCTATGTTTTTTGAGGTTATGTCAAAATCCTGACGTGATGGAGCTAAACGGACTTCAGATTCGTGTTCAGCGCATCAAAATACATCAAAAAATGATGGTCTCATTTTTTGGCCCGGGTACTTTTTTTTTTTGTGTGGCTGTGTAATCATAAAAGTTAAATTTAAAATAGAAAAAATAGATTTATTTATATTAGAATATTTTGTTGGATTTAGAAATCTTATTATCAATTAAAGCAGGTCATAAACAATGAATTTTAAAAGATCTAATTGAAGAGCTCCACGGAATAACGATCTATGGCACAATTGAAAAGCTTGGTTATGAGCTTTCAAAAAATATAAAAATTTTATAAACTAATAGCTGTAAGCGAATTATTGTAACTAATAGAATTAATAATAGTTACCAAAAGTGTAAGAAAGGTCCGAGCATGTTTTCTACAACTCAGCCGTCGATCATCACTTTTTGTCGCTTCGCTGCTGGGTTGTAGAAAAACATGTTTGAACATTTTTTAACATATTTTGGGAACTACAAAACATTTTTTAAGTTTTCACATTTTTAACACAATTTTCGCGTCACCGGAACTTTTGAATTCATGTAACAAAACTCATTTCCTTAATCAATAATGAATTTCGCGTTTTGTCACCATTCATTCTCCCCTTTTTCTCTTAAAAACCTAAAGGTTCTGCTACTTCTGATTTTTTTGTTGGGCCTTTGAGGTCTAAATAACAAGGAAAAATGGTTTTAAAATCTTTTATCGAGCTATTCTATTTTGGGAGTCAAAATTTGATAAATTTATTGTTTTTTTTACATTCGTTCCTCTTTAAGATTTACATAAACTTATGTATTTGACATTTACACACTTTCTAACACATAAACAAAAGCATATTTTGCATATACATACGCTAATAAATTGATCACAATACTCGTACAAAATAGAAAAATATAAAATTTCACTGGGATGTCTCTGCAGAGTACAGAGTGCTTAGGGTAATAAAATTGCTTAGAGTTTTCTTGGTTTCTCGACTCGTACATGCATTATAAACACGTGGTTGTATATAAACAACTTCATTGTAATTAGTTTCATAGTTGCTATGATTTAAGGTTGCAAAATATCGAAATTGGAGAAGACGTCTCATGCTGATCACGCGTTATCACACGAAGAACATAGGAGTAAAATTTGTTTACTATGTCTTAAAAAAAAGTAAAGTACTGTTTAAAGTAGAGAGTACATTAAAATTGCATTTAGAAAAAGCAGTACAGTGTGATATTGACAATATTTTAAGTGATGACAGGCTACCCAATGTCCTTTGTGCTACATGCGAAACAAATGTATATCGGAGTGAATCAAATAATAATTCAGAAACTGTACAACTTAAAACTTTTCAGGTACCCGATTTTTCTAATTTTAAGCGTAGAATTTTGTCTACAAGATCTCATTTTAAAGATTGTTGTCAGTGCTATTTGTGCGAGGTTGCAAGATCGAATATTAACCATCAAATTTTGAATAAAACGAAGTCGAGTGTTCCGAAATGTATTTAACATTTCTCAAATTGCTTCATTGAAACTAACGAGGAATCAATCATAAATGTATTAGTCGGAAAGCAAAAGAGCTGTTAGTTTCAACTTTAATTAGTAATATTTCATCTACTAATAAGCTTGATGACAACAGTTCGAAAAATGATTTACCTATCTCCCTTACACGTCTGTCCGGTGGAAAACCCATGAAATTAAGTTCTATGAAGAATAATATTGCAACTAGTCCAGCTACTACTTCGATAAACGCAGATGATTTCGTAAAAATCAAAACTAGATTTAACTTGAGTTCCAAGACTACTATTGGCATAGCAAGTTCCCTGAAGGTTGCTAGTAAAAAACGCGCAATAATTGAACTTTGATTGAAAGGAAAACTTATACAAACAAACCTAGAACTCAAAGATTTTTTTTCAGTTAAGATCATGAATTTTGTTACCACTAAATCTAAAGTAAGCAAACCTATCGAATGCACCCTTGTGTATTGCAACGATCTTCAAAACTTTATGGCATAAATAAAAAATCAACATGAGGTTACAAATGCACATTTAAAATTTGGAATCAATGGAGGGGGGGGTTTCCTGAAAGTTTGTTTATCCATGCAAGTTAATCAAGATTCTAAAATTAGTCAAAAAAATACGAAACGTCAGAAATATGAAGACGGTGTGTGTGCTACAACTTTTAAAGATTCTGGCGTTAAAAAACTGTTCATCTTCGCAGCTGCAAAATCTGCTCAAGAAAATTACGAAAATATCGCAGAAATATGGAGAATGTTGCAAATAGATAAAATTTTCAGGTCACAATAGCTACAGATCTGAAATTGGCTAACATTTTGTTGGGGATTATATCTCATGCATCATCATATCCTTGCACATGGTGTCTGTGTGATAAAGAAAATTTAAAAAGTGTTGGTGCTTTTCGCACTATAGGAAACTCATTTTCAAATTTTGAAGCTTGAAAAAGATCAGGATCAGTCAAGAAAAATGCCAAAGACTACAAAAATTGTATCAATTCTCCAGTTTTTTCTGGTCACGCGGATACAAGGATTTTGGAAATCATTCCTCCTCCGGAACTTCATTTGCTGCTCGGCGTTGTAAATAAAATTGTGAGCGAAATGCTGAATGAGTTTGAAGAGGTAACAAATAAATGGACAAATCTGTGCAATGTGCAACGAGAAGTATCCCACGGAGGCCCCGGCTTTAAAGAGAATTCCTGTAAAATATTATTGAACAAAGTGGATACTCTCCGTTTGATGTGACCTTTAGGTTGCTTAAAATATGTAGAGGCCCTTCAAAACTTTAATAGCGTCGTAAATGAGTGTTTCGGAACAGAATTAAATCCGTCTTACGTCGAATCCATTAGAAAATTCAAGTCGAGCTATTTAGCATTGGGAATATCAGTTACGCCAAAGGTTCGTGCGGTCTTTTACTATATTTAAGATTTTTGTACCGGTTCCAAGAAAAGACTTGGATTTTATGGCTAACAAGCGATGGAATTAGTTCATTTTGACTTCAATAAAACATGGGAAAAGTATAAGGTGTCTGAAAACCACCCTGAGTACAAAGTGAGATTACTCAAAGCTGTAATTTGAATATAACAGTCACCATGTATAAATTTGTTACTTTATCTACGTAAGTTATGTTTTTCGAACAATCATTCCGCACATACATCTACTTTGATTTTTTTTTGTTAAATAGATTCGAATAAATATTTTTCGCAAGTGAAATTATTTTTACAAAACTATTTTGTCCAAACTTCCTCGAAGAAGACGTCGTTTTTTACCTAGAACACTGCAGGAAGTGGTCCGGATGACGAAAACCCGATATTTGCACTTGGAGGGTTATATTATTTTTGTTTTGTCCAGACTCCCCGAAGATGACGTTGTTTTCATACCTACAACATAATAGGGAGTCGTCTGGATGGTCCTGGATTAGTATATTGGATTATTTATACTTTCAGTTATGTTTTTTAACTCTTAACTCCTAGCCCACGGATATTCCTGGGGCAAAACTAGGGAAATTTCTACTTGGGAGTAGAAATTATTATTATATTCACATTTAATATTGTCCTACTACATATTTACCATCCATTTACCGACCATCTTTATTAAACTTGCCCTAACTATGGTTGCCAATGTCAAACCGACTTGCATGTCCATGATCGGTAAAAGTTTAGAATCCATAGATGACCAAACTTTAATACTGATTATTGGCCCACGTTATAGTTAGTTCAAGCGTATGAAAATGGCAGCCATTTTTCTAAGGATTAAATCTAACGTATGGTCCCATGCGTTTTTTCGTAGGAAAAAAATGGACGTCATTCTTATACAGGTCGAAAATATGAATAACTTTTGTGCTTTTGAAATAAAAAGTATCGTAAGTATCACAATGCTAAAACAGCAGTGTTTCATGTTAAAACAATTTTCTTATTCGAATGTACGTTTCTTATTTTCAGCTATTTGCAATAATTGTATTTGGCTGTATTAGCAATAAAGGGTATTTAATCGATTCGGAAGGAAAAGAAAAGTGTCTATACAACAATGACGCAAATGCTTGTAATTATGGAGTTGGCATCGGTATACTGGCATTTCTAGGGAGCATAGGCTTTTTAGTAGGGGAATATTTATTTGAACAAATGTCTTCTGTAAAAACACGAAAGCATTATGTGTTAATGGATCTCGGGTAAGTTTTTGCAAGTAAACATTATTATGATATTATAAACAAAAAAGTTATTAAAAATAATTACCTTTTAGATCTTCTTTTAAATACTGTTTCTTGATTCTTCAAAGGAAATTGATACTAACTTGAGATTAAAAACGTATCGACATTATTATTTTTAGAACTTTTAGAGATCTTGCAGTTAGAACAAAATTTAAGACACGGTTCCCCCATTTACTAGCTTAGTACCAAATCGGAAGATATGTTTTCATACACAAAATAAGTAATAAGTCCAATGTCAAACATTTAAAATAGGTTGATTATAATATTTGTTATTATAATGGTTATGTGTTGCATTTTTTACCAATTCAAATGAGTATAGAGAAACATGACATTCTAGAAAATATTTGGGAAACCTGCCGTTAAAAATATCTATAAAAAAGTTTTTAAGTAAATAATGTGATTGATAAAAATAATAACTTTTTGTAAAAAACAATTTTTTTAATAGTTTTATGAACCTGAAATAATAAACAAAAACTTGACATCGAACATGGCATTTTTGAGAGGGGTTTATTACTTAAAATTCCTTAAGAATTATGTGAGCATTATATGTCAAATGCTTACGAATTCAAGCGATGTATACAGTATACAGTGAACCCAGACACATCTATAAGTTGTAAGAAACGAAACGATATCTGTAATATATTGCCGAATAAGTGACGAAGAATGTGTTTTTTGCCCCCGCGTTTAGTGACAGACTTTGACGGATTTCAACAAAATGTTAGAGAATCTTAAATACAGCTAAAGAATCCAAACGGATTTTTCAGTATATCTTACTGAAGCCCAATACTAAAAAAATCTGCTTGCATCTGGAAAAATCCTGTACAATTATAATAGAATATAAATAGAAAATTAAAAAAAATAATAATAATAATTAAAAATATTCATGATAGAATGATTTTCTGAAGTCATTCCACCACAGTAAAAACCTAAGTTCACTTTTGCTGCGTATCATTCTGAGTTCCGGATCAAATTAAGTAATTGGCAAACTTCAAGTGACTCAGAATCATCTTCATTGGCAATTTATTTATAATTAAAAATTGAAACAATGAAAAATAAAGTTTATAATAACAAAAGTCAATAAACATTATGTTATTATTAAGACACAAGTATAGAATGTTTAGAAACTATTTATTAAGAAATAAATAATTTTAAAATTTTAGATTTTTCGAATTTTTAATAAAAGTAACATATTTTCTATAAAAATTAATATTTTTTAATCGGGTATGACTAAGATTTTAAGTTTGGCTAAAACCTAAGAGACTGGCAACTTTCACTTCAATCGGTCAAATCGTTTTCACGTGATTCTGGAACAAAATATTGCGGTCATACATTACATACATACAGATACAAATATTTTAATACTCATTTTTCAATTCTTTGTTGTTCACAAAGACAAAATACGTCAAAAATTTTAGATTCTTAGCAATGTACAGACAGAAGTCTGATTCTGATTTTATTAATATAGATTAAGATTGTTATCATTATTATTATATTTATTTTGTATCACAAAAAATTAATGAATAATTAATAATAATTAATTTATTTATTACGAAAACTACATAATAAATAAACTAAAGTATTAAATTCTTTGCAATTAACTGGACGCATGATTATGCACCACATGTCAATTACCTAACATTCATTTAACCGAAATGTGTCATTTGACAGAATTGTCAAATAACACAATTGTCATTTGAACGAAACGTCACTTAATCGAAAAGTCACTTGACAAAATTTCAAGTTGAAAGAATTAACATTTAACCGAATTGTCGTTATACCAAACTGACATATTACCGAAATGACACACAACCGAAATGTCAAATAACCGACACGTGTATTAACCGCTAAGTCAAGTAACAGAATTGTTATTTAACCGACACGTCAAGTAACAGAAATGACAATAAATCGACATGCCATTGAACCGAAACGTCATTTAACTGAAATGTCAATGAACAGAACTCTCATTTAACCGACACGTCGTTTAACAGAATTGTCTTTTAACCGAAATGTCATTTAACCGACACTATTTTAGTATGTGAGTTCACTTTCTATAGAGGATATAGTTTTGTCGGTGAAGTAAACCTAGAGGGCACTATAATATAAGAAAGTGTGCTGATCTCCCTCTAGGTTTACTTTACCGACAAAACTATATATACTCAGTAGAAAGTGAACTCACATACTAAATTGGTGTCGGATAAATGACATTTCGGTTAAAAGACAATTCGGTTAACTGACATTTCAGTTAATTTACCTTTTGGTTAAAAGACAATTCTGTTAATTGACGAGTCGGTTAAAGGTATGACGTATATTTTCAAAATTTCAAATAATAAACATATTCAAATAAATTAAAAATTCTGTCCTACGTCACTAAATCAAAATCTGGCTCAACGTGTTCAATCAAGAAATTTAAACAATTAAACTTCGCCGTCAGGCGACAATTAATTTTTTTAAAGAATTAATAAGCTATTTAATACTCTATCTCTCTCTTTCTCATCAACTCCACTCTCTACCTCTGAGATTCTCTCTCTCTCAAAGGTAATTCTGCCCGAAAAATGGCAGAACAGATTTGCCAATGCTGAGACACGACTGATTAACACTGGCTTTGGACTTACCCACGACTGGTACAACCCTGGTCCACTACTCGGTTTTGGTCCTTGTAGCGTCTGTATCCCACACGCTGAAAGGACTTCGACAGGGGGGGGTAAGGATAATCCAATAATCACAAAAAAAAGAACAATTCACCGATCAATATCTCTTTATTTCACAATACACCGAATACTCGCTATTCGTCCTACACACTATCGACACTCTTGTCCACACTCAAAAAATTGTATCTTCACAAAAACTCAAACGAAAACTACACGACCGACGCTATCGATGCTAATCAAAATCAATGTGGCGGTCAATGTACAGGAGAAATTGATCGCTTCTCACCGGTTCTCTTTCAGCTCACCTTCTAATTAGTAGAAGTGACCCCTACCTTGAACCTGAAAGTAAAATGCGCGACCCACTGACATACTTGTATTATCCCTAGTAGGTCACCCGACCGCCCACTTCCTACCTTACCACCGCTTTCTATCGGCACTGGTTCAGGGAATGCCAACAGATGTCGTACTAATACACTCTGTTACAAAGGACAATTCGTTTAAATGACAATTTTATTGTCTGGCAATTCTGTTATTTGACATTTTGGTTGTTTGTTCTGTCAACTGAAAATTTTTTTAAGTGACTTTTTGGTTCAGTGACAATTCGGTTAAGTGACGTTTCGTTCAAATTACAATTGTGTTATTTAACAATTCTGTCAAATGACAATTCGGTTAATTGGCCTTTCTGTTAATTGCATTTCGTTAAATGAATGTTTAGTTAATTGACATGTGGTGCATAATCATGCATAGAGATAATATAAATAGAGTGGAGATGGTCTGTATAGAGGCGTCCGTTTGATAGAAAGAGAACGCGATTTTAGCACCAGTAGGTGTCTCTCTTGCGCTGGTGCTTATTGAAGGACAGATACTGGTGTTAAATCTTTCTTCTCTTTCCAACCCATTCTGTTTATGTCAGGACACTTCCCTCTTACGCAGCCGCCTATACCTTGTCTACTCTATTTATATTATCTCTATGTAATCATGGGTCCCTAACTGGCGCAGCTAGACGCATGCGCAACGTAAAGGAGCATCGACATAAAAACACTGAATCATTTCGATTGTTCGCGTTCGAAAATCGAATTCTCTACAAAATCAAACGGAATTCTACTGACTTGTACGCACTTACACCGAATAACGCTTTTGATAGACATTCTGTAACGACTAATTAAGACGAAACCACGGAGGAATAGTAAGGAGACCGATCTTGCTGTAGTAGCGCTTCTGAAAATGTCAGAAAAACATGCACGATAAGTGCCAGTTTCACTACATTCTACTCAACCACCAAAGTAGCTGAGCATGCGCATTAGGCATGTGCTCTCTCTCTTTCTCTCGCAAAAAGTGTGCGAGTGAGATCTGGCTGACGTATATTTCTCAAGTCTTCCATGCGTGTTGTGATGAAGGGGTTATGTGTTATTATTGTTATTATTTTAATAATTATTATTAATGTTTATTTTAAAATGTCGTGCTGTGTGCCAGGATGTAAGAAAAATCTTTTTCATGACATACATAATAAATAATATGTTTGTAATTACTATGGCTCCATTATTCTTTTAATAATTACTTCAATTTATTGACACTTTAAATATTCCAATAGCATACATTATTATATACTTACACATGATTTTGGAGATACAACATCGCAATGGTAAATAAAATTTCTGAAATAAATAGTGAACACTAAGATTTTTTTTGTGACATATATATATATATATATCTCGCATAACCACACTTTTCATCTGTCAAAATTGAGGTCCAATGCGCATTCTCACTTACTTTGGCCAGTTGAGTATAATGCACTGAACCTGGCACTTATCGTACATGTTTTTCTGACATTTCCAAACGCAGTGATCCTTACTATTCCTCCGTGGACGAAACGTACATAGCTTTGAATAGCAATGCGTTCCTAGAAAGTATCATATTTTTATCTACAACGTCTAAGTTTCTGTGAAAGATTAGAAGTCGGACTCCGAACAGAAAATTACATTGATTCCCCAAGTAATAAACCCCTCCCAAAGAAGCAAAGATGGGTGAGAATTTCAAAAGTGGCCCCCGATCGGATTTTTTTATCGAAACTTCACAAAAATATAGTTCCAATATATTTTAAAACATCCCCTAAATTTTATTGAAAAATATTAATTTGTTTATTTTTTATAAACAATTAAAATTTTATGCATAACATTTTTCAAAATTGCATAGCTTTCACTGAAATTGAGGAAATTCTTTTTTCTTTTTCTTAAATTACTAAAGAAATTCCAAACTTTTTGAAAATAATTTTTACAATTTTGAAACTTTTCATTTGTTATAAAAAAAACTTTT